CTCTGCCCCCTTTTACTTCACCCTGCTTGGCCCTGGGTGGTTGACTGGTTAAGCAATGGTAGGTAAGATTCCTCAAGGGAGAGATGATCTAAGACAGGTACAGTTGCAAAGGGCCCTCAGGGAAGAACTTGGGGGGGATAGGAAAAGGGGGTTATAGATCCTCACCTTTTGGCTTTGACATAGCCTGAGTCCTCATTATGTCTGCAAGAAGTCTCCTAATCTCTTGGCTGCCTTATTTCCCCTGCCTGGCTTAAGCCTGAAACAATGCCAAAGGGCAGTGTAGCCCTGGACAGGAACAGGCAGTTTCCCAGGGCAATCAAGTTTAAGAAAGAATGCATGAAATCCTGTGAAACCTGCTTTGCCAAAAATGTCCTCAATTTTCTGATAAGGGTCCAAGCATAAAATGAGTGTGTTTCCCAAAGTTTTATGGCCCTTTAGCTAACTGACCCTGACTCAGAATAAGCCCTCATAGTTCTCTCTTATATATTGTTTAATCATTACTACCTGACCATAATGAATGAGGTCCTTCCTTGATGTAATGCTCCCAGAAAGTAATAAAAGCCTGTCTAGGCAAGGGTCAGCATGCTCTCTCACTCAGAAAGTGGCCACACTGTCCCTTTTCTTAAGACTTCTGCAGTCTGTGTGAATTTATTCGTTGCATCCACAACACCACAGACACTGCTGACTGGAGTCCACATCAAGATTTGTCAGTGTATTTTTCATGGTGGAATACAGACCAGACCTGCTTTTTCCTTGAACAGTCAAAACAAAATTCTGTACAACTTTTTAAATTAAATAAGCAGTTGCTGCTCAGGTTTATTTTGTTAATTAGGAAAGACCCATGGTCAAACATGTTAGGAATTACTAAAACAGAATCAATCAATTATTTTTTTTCTTAGTGTTCCCCCCCTCAAAAAAGGTACAAATTAAAAGACTTGAGGGAACTTTAGGACGGACATTTTTTTCTCCTTCATGGATATATTTGAGTTTTAGCAATTTGAATACAAAGATTCAGGGAAAATGTCAAACTTAAAATGTAACAAACTATTTGATATGGCATTTGTTTGTATGCTTTTTTTATGTTGTTCAAGTACAGTTGTCTCCTCTTTGCTCTGCCCCACTCACCACCACTTCCCACCCTCAATCCTTCCTCACTTTGGGTTTGCCCATAGGTCCTTTGTACATGTTCCTAGATGACCTTTTCCCTTCTTTCCCCTGTTATCTCCTCCACCCTCCCTTCTGGTTACTGTCAGTTTGTTCTTTATTTCAATGTTCTTGGTTATGTTTTTGCTTGTTTGTTTGTTTTCTTGATTAGATTTTTCTAAAGATGCCCTTTTTAAATACAAAATTAATGCTAGTGACTCCAGCTGCCCCAAATATCAATAACACTCATCATGCCAAGCACTTCACATTCATTATTTTATGTATTCTTCATCTCTCTATGAGGTTGATATGATTATTATCCCCATTTAGCTGATAGGGAGATAGAAATATTTAAAAAGTGACTTGCCTATGATCAAATTTTAAGTGGTAGAGCCTGGGTATCTATTTAGGTCTGCTGGAATCCAGAAATTTAGCCCTTAACCCCTATTGTGACACAACCAAAGAGACTGACATGTGAATCTCTGGAAGAGATGGTTCCTATGAACAGAATTCTCTCTTCATTATGTGTTGTAGGGTCTGAAGCTATATAACCTTTTCTACAGCTAAGGTTAGAAATGATATTTGATAAGCCCTGCAGAGTTTAGAAAGCTTAAGGGGGCAAAGGTGCATGTGATGTGTAGCAACTGAGATTTCCTGGATATGGTTGATTCCTTCAGTTAGTGTATTTGGTATCACATCAGTTTTTCAAGAACCTGCCACTTGTACTCTCCATGCTCAGACAAAATATGAACATGGTCCATTTTTTCATATTTCATCTCTATTCTTGCCTTCTTCATTGTTAGTCATACTCCCTAGTTGAGCTTACTGGGTGAAACAGGAATAAACAATACATTGGGCGTGAGGGGGGGAAGATGTGGGAGATCACAGGACAAAGGTCTGTGAGTGAAATACCTTGATCATTTATCTGATGTTTTCTCTCTCCAGAAAATTCACTCTTTAAATATGCACACAGACTTCTTCTTCCAGGAAAATGGGGTAGACAATCTTTTTGCTATTGTCCCACTAAATACAGCTAAAAATCCTGAAACATAAAAATACTCTGAAAGGTGGAAAAAAGGCAGACCATCTGGGACCTCAGGAACAGAAGAAAAACATGGTGGTAAATTCTCTGAGTTTTCTTTTTGTCACATAAACTTCTGATTAGGTGTTAAAAGAAGCTGGTGACCAAGAAATGTCAATGGGTTCAGACATGGCCATGGGCCAGTGGAGACCATGTTGGGAGAGTCTAGACATCCACTACTACTACAAGGTACTCCACCCTGAGGGTCAATGGAGGGCCAGGGAGAGCAGTAATGAAGTGTCCCCTGGGCTTCTACCTATATCTGGAAATGATGAGGCAGTATCTTCCCTTCCCCTATGAGAGTGGTATCAGAAGAGGTCTGATAAAATACAAGATTTAAATAAGACCCAGAGTCTTTTTAATATAATATTCATAATGTCCAGGTATCAATGAAAACAATCACTCATACCAAGTAAGATGTTAACTTGAATTAGAAAAAGACAATACAAAATTCAATACTGACATGACACAAATGTTAGAATTATCTGATAAGAATTTGGAAGCATCCTTTATAAAAGTGCTTCAACGAACAATTACAAACATTGTTGGAACAAATAAAATAAATAGAAAGTCTTAGCAAAGAAATAACTTACAATGAAAAGCCAGATAGGAAATTTAGAATTGAAAACAAAATAGCAGAATCAGTGACCTTGAGGATAGAACACTAGAAATTACCCAAAATGAACAACAGAAGACATAAATAAATAAGTAAATAAATAAATAATGAGGAGGCCTGGGGGACAAGTGGGACTGTAACCAAAGATCTAACTATTGGGTCACTGGAGTCCCAGAATGGTATAGAAAGAATATTTGAAAAATATAATGGCTAAAAGTTACTTAAATTTGGGGAAGACATCAACCTAAAGGTTTAAGAACCTGAGTGAACCCCAAACAGGATAAACCCAAAGATAGCACATACCACATTCAAACTTTTAAAAATTAAGGATAGTGAAAAGAATGTCTTGAAAGCAGCCAGAGAAATGATGTAGGAAATGCACTACTTTTGGCATTAGAAGAATAAGCTTGTTACCAGCACTTCTTGTTGATTTCAACTATTAGTCTTCTGCATTTTTAACTGGACTGAACCAAGTTAACATGTACAGAGCATTTACTGGAAATCTACAAGTTATGCTGGACACCTGGGAGACATTTGTCAATTCCATTTTTCCTCTAATTGTTCTAAAAGCAGTGTTATCCCTCAGAGGAAATCAAGGAATTCCAGAACTGGAAAAAAAACTCAAAAAGGAAACACAAGAGCAGAAATTTGGAATTTTGGATTTCTGGATGGGCTTCAGCTCTTGTGAACTCTCTAAAAGTAATTTACGTGCATTTTTCTCAGAAAATTAGCATATCTTTTGTCAGAATTTCAAACAAGCTGGTCTCCCTAAAGGTTAAGAGCCACTGTAAGAGTTTCTGTTCTTTTCAGGCAAAATCATATAATCCAACTTACACAGATGAGAAAAAAGGCTAAAAATAAAGATATACCCAATTATATTCAACAAAATTTTTGAATGCCTCCTTATGATAATTCTCTACTTCTAAGGGAAAAATAGGAAAATAGTAGTTTTCTAATTCCTTCTAAGGCACTTGTGTAAATACATGTTCATTAGAGAATGTTTGCCTGTAGTGCTATTTTGAACAATTTAAAAAATAATGTCTGGAGATGACTAAATGACTAATGCACTGTGATTTAAAATGTGGTTTAGGTTTGCTTCCCCCCAATGCCAATGGAGAAGTTCAAGCATATGAGGAAAAAGAAGCAGCCTTTCTACCTACATCAGTACCAATGAACTAGTTTGTAAGAGACAGGACAAACTGTCCCACAAGCGGCATTCCTTTTTCCATCTTAAAAAAAAAAAGCATGTAAAATTAAGTTCTACTATGATACAATGTATAAATGTCAAGTTATCTGAACAAAAAATGTTAGAGCTTTGTCTGCTAAAAAAAAAAAAACTAAACAGCTATGACAAAAACAGATCCATTCAGATTTTATAATGTCTTTATAGCATGGCTGTCCCTACTTGTGCCCTCCATCAAATTCCTTATTAGCCAGGTCTGCTTACACCTGCAGAAATGCACTGTAAACAGAATCCTAAATTGCTGCTGCCTGTTTTCTGACCAAAATTAAGGTTTCCAATGTCACTTGCAGTTAGAGGTTAGATAATGCATTATTTTAGGAAGAAACTTGACTGTCTGCTTCTAGTAAGACACTATAGTTTGATTTACTTGGATTATTCTATGGTGCTTTTATCTACAGAATCAAAAGAATCACTGGGGGCCCTTTTTAAACACAGGATTATAGTATCTAACCCTACAATGACTACAACACAATTGAGAGGGACTTGGGAATTTGAGTTTTATCCAGTATATTGGGCAATTCTTGGACTCAAACAGGTTAGAGTAGTATTTTTAAAACTTAAATGTGCAGATACGCCTGGGCTCCTAAACAAATGCATCTTCTAATCCAACTGGTTTGGATGGGGCCTGAGATCCTGCATTTCTAATGAGTATCCAGGTGATATTGCTGATTTGAGAACACATTAAGTAGCAAGGTCAGAAAAAGTATGTCTCATTGGGTTGTGTGTAAATCAGTATAGGCTACTACATTTTCCTCCTCTCCTGCCTTGATTATGCTCATTTTTCATTTTCCACTTATTGTGACTCTATAAACTCGTGTGATCAGTTAGGTCAGGTATCCTGCCCTTCTTATTTAGCTTATATAAAAAGTCCGCACAAAGAAATAGCTTAAAATAAACAAAAAAATAGACACCATACATTAACTTGCAACATAATGGGTTTATATTTGTTATAGTATTTCTCACCATGGGAGCGTTACTCAGTTAATATAAAGATTTTAACATTATATTTCTTCTCTATTTCACTGTCAGTACAGAGTATATTTTTTGCATTAAATCTTTTCTCCATTTCAATGTTAGATACACTGAGTACATTTTTTAAACCTTTTCTTCCCAAGAAATAAATTTTTTAAGTTTTGATCAACTATATTTTATATCTAATATCTAGGTACAATATTCACTTGGGAGACAACAAAAATTTAGTAAAAATACAGAGAAAAGTCTCCTTAACAATACAGGAGGCAGAGATTACAACTGAATAGTGGCTACTTCCTAGAATCCTAGGCAAGTGTCCTTCTCCCAATTTCATTGCTTTGAGAATTTTGAGACTATTAAATATTACTTATGTAAATTTCAGCCATCTGACTTACTTGATCCTCTTTCTAACTAGCAAACACAAACTATAGACTGCATTTTTCAGTGCACTATTTGTTATGAAAAAACATTTTTTCCATGTATCAATTTATTCCTATTTGCCCTATTTTTTGTTTCTCAGGAACTTTCAAACACCAAAGCTCAGTTTTTAATCTCAACAGCGCAAAAATTTTCAGGGTGAGGTTTGATTCAGGAGGCTCTTCAAAGTCATACCTCTCCATTTCTCTTTCGTGCATATACCCCCAAACAAGCACAAATGCCTGTAATGCAGAGAACCACACATAAAAAGAGAGTGATTGCATCTCCTGCTTCTACTGCTTCAACAACAGGCAGCATCAAAAGCAGTGAAATGAGGACTAGCAACTGTGCTGAAACTGAGGTCATGATGTTGGGATCTTGGGATGGCTGGATCTTGAGCTCTGAAGGTTTTCTAGAAATTAAACACGGAAACAAAGAGGAACCATTAAAATTCCTACCTTTTAAAAATTACCTTGTGAATACATGATAATCTACACAACTTTTTAAATTTAAATTTCAGACACACCTTCTTATTTTACTGGGAAAAAAGCTAAGGGAAAAGGTACTTAAAGATGGTCATTTGAGGTTAATCTCCCTTTCTCATAATCAACTCAAGCGATTTTTCCACACTCTACAATGCCATCACGTGAGAATCAACCAAACTGAACAGCAGAACATAATAAGAACAGAAAATGCCCAAGAGACTCACTTGGAAACTTAAAATATCCTACTGAGTAAAAATTATTTTCCTAGGGTCTTTCTCAACCAGGAAGTACAGACAAACCTGGTAAAACTCACACAAATAAAACTCTATAAATTTGTGGGGAATCAGTACAACTTACCAAAGAAACGATATATGTATAATTGTTTCTGACTTGAAATACTCCCTTTCTGGAACTCGGAAGCTAGGAGGTTCCACGTGACAACGCCTATTATGAGAAGAGGAAGGGAGGACTTAAAAATCACTCAAAATCATTACTATTACCATTAATATTATTTTAAGAGGGCAGCTACAGTCAGTGCAAATCAGGGAGCTGATACGGAAGGGGGAGAAATGAGTAATAACTAGAGAAAACAGTTTGTTCAAGCAGGGGTACTAGACAAAGTTGGTCAGTTCACTCACACAGGAAAAACTAAAAAAAAAAAACAAAAAAAATCGTATTGACAGACAAGTTCGTTCCAATACTTTAAAGATATTAAAAAGAATCCCTGCCTTGGCTGGGCAGGGTGCAAATTTGCCCCGTTTTACAAATACGCTGTGGCAACCCGACTATCCTTTCTAAGAGAATTCCTACATTACCTTACAGGAAGCAGCCATTACAGGAATAGCAAGGAGGGCGGTGTCTCTAAACTACATTTCCCACAATCGCTGCAACCACGACTTCCGTGTGCCCCTCCAGCTGGAAGAGAGGTGACCGCCAAGCTGTGTGGAAGAAGACTAGCGAGTATGAGGCTTGCTACTGTCCCAATGTTTTACAGATAAATTGGTTTAGTGTGTTTGTACGAAAGCTACTTGATAGTAAAAACAACACGACAAAAAATGACAGCAACTTTTTTTTTAACCTTCCCAAACAAGATGTTATGGCTTTATCTTCCACTGAAAATAAAAGCAGGAAGAGGTCACCCGAGCCAGAGCCATCTATTTAAGATGCTTTTAAACTAGAGGATTCTGAGGGAATTTCAGGGGAAAAGGGTAAGGGTTTACAGGAACAAGTATAAAAGACACATGGACAAAAACTAGGGGTGCGGAGAAATGAGAGGGACACGGGGAGCATTGTGGGGGGTGGACTGGGATGGGAGTAAAAGGCAGAAAACTGTACTTGAACAACAATTAAAAAATAAATTAAAAAAATAAACAAGGATTCCCACAATTTTGAAGGGAACCCACTGCCACCATCTAACAAATGTGCCTTATGAGTCTGTTAATTCTTTTTAACCAATGGACGGAAAACATTTTAAGACATTTTGGAAAATGTTAAAGCCACTTGTAGAGGGGAAAACAAAGTTTTGAAAGAAATGGTTATAGCGCTTTAAGAACATTTATATGATTCAAGTTCTAAGTTTCCATATTAGTTCAGGAATGCAGTATATGGTACAATTTAGTGATTGTTTCTCACTCATGTTTTTATGATAACCACTCTAAATGTCCCCAAACATGTATGAAAAGATATAAAACTTCCTTTTAAATCACAAGACTGAACTATTTGCATATATAAGTTATAACCTCTTCTGAATCTCTTGAAGTCAAATATCTGTGAAGTCATTACTATACCTTTCTAGTCACAGACTTCTCAACTCATTTACTGACTCCACAATTTATTTGATACCCTCAGATTGTCAGTTATTAATGATGTTGGTTAGGGATGAAGTCACCTGCCCTATCTGAAAGTCTCAGTCTCTCAGATTCATTTTTCCTGATGCAGCAGTACAATGCCCATAAATAGCATGGTGGTTATCTTTTCCTTACACAATCTCTCTAGACTGACAGCAAAACTTTATTGGTACCTCAACACACACCCAGTTAGTGCTCAGTAATGTTGGCCAATAACTATTTAGCTAATAATAATAAATAAATGTACCAACAAGATTTTATTAGAGACAAAGAAGTAGCAAATCAAGGTGTCTTGCAAATTGGAAGTCTGAGGATAACTACACAATAATGTTATCAAACTCAAAGGGGTTTGTTGTTGAGGGTGCTCTAAACAAGAATGAGACATGGTTGACACAAGTAAAGGATGTAGGGTATCCACATCCAAACCTCTGTCTCCAAGAAGAAAATCTTAGCCATTGCTCATATGCAATACTTTGTTATTTACGTGTTAATTTTCTTTTTTGCAGTTGGCTATATTTATGGGGTAAGACCCCATCAGTTTCATCCAGTTTACAGCTGTATCTGCAAAATACTGTACTGTATTTTAACATTTGGCAAGATTAGCATTTAGTAAGAACTGTCCAGACCTTGAAACTCTTGTCCTAACATTGTCTGCATTGCTTCTCTGAACTTGATTATTTTAACGAGTTCTCTCTTTGACTCATTTGCTTGATCTACTTTTAGTATTGTGCCTTATTAATCAATTACATTTCAAATAGGAGCTATTTTTATGGCTTCCAAAATATTCTTTTATATTCTAGTGTGAACATTCTGTGCATTTAATTTTTCCCTATGTTTATTTCAGTTAGCTCAAGTTAGCAGAGACTACTTTAAAGTTAGTATTATCACAGGCTTGTTTCTAGGTGTGTTAACATTGAAGATAGTAATTTGCTTTTAAATTTGAAGAGGCTGTAGATCGTAAAGTGCATTTATTTTTATAGCAATAGAGTAAAAGTCAAGTAATGACCTCTCCCATCTGAAAAAAAAGTAGCATAAGTTTGTACAGGCATGTTTTGGGCCTCCATAGTTTTAAAATATAATTGGCTAAATTCTCCTAACCAACACCCATCTCAATCATGCAAATTTAATAAAGATATTGCTTTTGTGTGCTTTATTACTGTCCTAGTTTTGGGAATAGCATGGTATCCTAGTTCTCAGTTTTGTTTTCTTACTACCCTAATTGGTGATTTTTTAAAAAATTATATAATTTATATCTGTGCTTAAAACTCTCCAGTTGGATCACATTAAATCCAAACTCCATTTCAAGACCCACAAAGCCCTAAATATTCTGGCCTCTGCCTGCCTCTTTGAGGTCAACCCACCAATCATCCATGCTCATTACATTCTAATCACACTTTATTTCTATACTTTAATATTTTTTATTGTTATTCTGTTAAAGTTGTCCCAATTTTTCCCCCTTTGTCCACTTCCACCCATCCTACCCCTACTCCCACAGTCAATTCCACACCATTGTCCATGTCTGTGGGTCACTCATACCTGTTCTTTAACTAGTGCCTTCCCTTTCTTTCCACTATTATCCCCCTTCCCCTTCCCACTGGTCACTGTCAGTCTGTTCCGTATTGTCATGATTATGGTTCTATATTGTTCTTCAGTTTATTTTGTTCATTAGATTCCTATTATTGGTGAGATCATATGGTATTTTTATTTCACTACCTGGCTTATTTCACTTAGTATAATATTCTCCAGTTCCATCCATGCTGTCATGAAGGGTGGGAGTTTCTGCTTTTTTCTGGCTACATAATATTCCACTGTGTAAATGTACCAGTTGCTATATGGGATATCTAAAATTTTCCTGCCTATATTTTTCTCTAGGACTTTCATGGTATCATTTCTTATATTAAAGTCTTTTATCCATTTTGAGTTTACTCTGGTGTATGGTGTAAGTTGGTGGTTAAGTTTCATTTTTACATTTGCCAGTCCAGCTCTTCCAGTATCATTTATTGAAGAGGCTATTTTTACTCCATTGTGTGCTCATGTCCCATTTGTCAAATATTGACCATAGAGACCTGAGTTTATCTGTGGACACTCTATTCTGTTCCATTGATTTATGTGTCTGTCCTTGTGCCTGTTTTGATTACAATAGCCTTATAGTATAGTGTGATATCAGACATTGTGATCTCTCCTAATTTATTCTTCTTTTTCAAGATTGCTGAGGCTAATTGGGGACATTTTTGGTTCCATAAAAATTGTTGAAATATTTGTCCTAGAACTGTGAAGTATGCCATTGGTTTTTAATAGAAATTGCATTGAATCTATAGATTGCCTTGGTTTGTCTGGACATTTATTTTGTTGTTGTGCAATTACAGTTGTCACCATTTTACCCTCATTACTCTCACCTGCCCTACCCAAACCCATCTCTCACATTCAATATTACACCCCCTTTGTCTTTGCCCATGACTCCTTTATAAATGTTCCTGTAAGATCATCATCCTTCTTTGCGGGGGTTTTAATTTTCATCTCTCTGATGGCTAGTGATGCTGAGCATCCTTTCATATGTCTCTGGGCCCTATGTATGTCCTCCTTGGAGAAGTGTATGCTCAAGTCATTTGCCTATTTTTCAATTGGATTGCTTGTCTTCTGGTGTGCAGTCACATGAGTTCCTAATTATTTTGGGGATCAAACCCTTCTCCAAGGTATCACTCGCAAATATGTTTTCCCGTATGGTTGGTTCTCTTTTCATTTTGCTGATGTTTTCTTTAGCCATGCAGAAGCTTTTTAATTTGATGAGGTCACATTTGTTTATTCTCTCCTTTATATCCCTTGCTCTAGGGGAAATATTGATGAAAGTATCGCTATCTGGGATATCTGAAATTTTCCAGCCTATGTTCTCCTCTAGGACTTTCATGGTGTCACAACTTATATTTAAGTCTTTTATCCATCTTGAGTTTATTTTGGTATATGGTGTAAGTTGGTGGTCAAGTTTCAGTTTTTTAGATATAGCTGTCCAGATCTCCCAACATTATTTGTTGAAGAGGCTATTTTTACTCCATTTTATGTCCATTGTCCCTTTGTTGAATATTGATTGACCATAGAAATATGTTTTTCTTTTCACAGCTCTCTATTCTGTTTCATTGGTCCATGTGTCTGTTCTTAGCCAGTACCAGATTGTTCTGATTACAGTGGCCTTGTAATACAGCTTGATATCAGGTATTGTGATCCCTACTACTTTGTATTTCTTTCTCAAAATTGCTGAGGCTATTCAGAGTTGTTTATGGTTCCATATATATATTTGAAATGTTTGTTATATGTCTGTGAAATATGCCATTGGTACTTTAATAGATATTGCATTGAATCTGTAAATTGCTTTGGGTAGTATGGACATTTTCATAATGTTAATTCTTCCAACCCATGACATGGTATATGCTTCCATTTATTTTTCTTCCTTAATTTCTTTCTTCAGTGTTGTGTAGTTTTCTGAGTACAGGGCTTTTTACCTCCTTAGCTAGGTTTATTCCTAGGTACTTTACTTTTCTTGTTGCTATAGCAAATAAGATTTTTTCCCTGATTTCTGTGTCTGATATTTTGTTGTTGGTGTACAAAAATGCCTTTGGTTTCTGATATTGACTTTATATCTGTTTTTCCCCCAAAGTCAGTCACTGGGTTGAGTAGTTTTTTGGTGGCGTCCATAGGGCTTTCTATTTAAACTACCATGTCATTGGGAAACAGTGACAGTTTTACTTCCTCCTTTCCAAAATGGATGGCTTTTATTTTTCTTGTCTGATTGCTGTTGCTGGGATTTCCAACACTATGTTGAAAAGAATTGGAGAAAGCAGACATCCTTGTCATGTTCCTGATCTTAGTGAGAAAGCTTTTAGATTTTTCCATTAAGTATGCTATTGGCTGTAGGTTTCTTGAATAGGGGCTTTATTATATTTTGGTATGCCTACTCTATTCCCACTTTGCTGAGTGTTTTTTATCATTGCTATTATCAAATGCATTTTCCACACTATTAATATGATCA